CTCCCTATCAAAACTCCTTGACACAAATTCCATCACACCAAAGATGTCACTTATCTCGGGAGGGGTGAAAGATGCATTTTTGCGGATTCCTTATAAGGATGTTTTTTGGCGCGCACGATGAGTTTTGATGGCTTCGCTTCATTCATTGTGCAGATCATGCCCTGCAGTTCCCAGATACGGAGTTCAACCAGCACGTTAAGAACGTTGAAGCAACGTCCTGGTTTCGTTACTTGAGAATCTCTACGAAAATTCGACGTGGAGACATACAGCTATGATTAGTTAGAAGCTGCCTGATTGTATAAAGACAAAGCAATTTGTTTCCTTCTGATTCTTGCAGATCACGGTATAATTATGTTTTTCTTTTTTATCGTTTTGTCCACTACTTATTTCGGATACACCTGTTGCAGTTGCCGTTATCTGCCATCCTCTTCGGTACTACGCTGTCGGCATGTTTTAAATGTGTGCTCTAGATGTTCACAGCCGTCTCAATTTCAGTAGTTCGTGTATTTGGTGCTGATCAGACCTGGTGGCGCTGATTATGGCAACCATCACTGTTGATGGACTGGAAGCTTTCAACTCGGTTGGTTTAAGCACCAACTGTGAGATACTGTGAGAAGCAAACGATGGTTTTTCTTACAGTTAAACAAGGAATGACAACTGACCAAGTCGGAAAATCCGATAGCTTTTCTAATAAGGTATGAACTAATTTAAGGAAGTTGAAGGCATTGTCCCAGAAAAGATCGATATTCATAACGGAGAAAATTCCCAGTGCATAACAATTGCTCGTCACAGGATTAGAATTTCACACAGAAAACAGCACGTGACAACAATGGAAGTAAGAGATATAGGCACACCACTTGCCATCCATTTTGCACGAGTCATGTGTTTCTAGCCAGACTTGAGGTTTCAAAAGTTAACAAGGAGGAACGGCAGTTTGTTTCCATGTGACTGAAATGAATACAAGACATGATTAGGTAGCCACTGGCAATGGTAAGCTTTCAATAGAATCACCCTTTGAAGAAAGATAAAACATCATTAAAGTATGTTTTAATATAAAAATGAACCACATTGAAGTTGTATGCTGGCTAAAATAACTTGCACTCGTGCATTTCTTACGAAAACAGTCCTCTTTTGTTCTTAACTGAGGATAGTTCAGTGCTTAGGTTGAGAACTTGCGGGCTGGTTTGAACCCAACCTCCGCATCTAGACTGCTCCTATTTAGGCTTGAAAAACCCGACAGTATCTCAGCCCTCGTGCTTTCTTCCGATGACATGGCAGTTAGATACCTGAAAGGTATATATACATATATATACACTATTCTGGTGCACCTATTTTTGCGAGTCCACACGAGAGCGTTTCACCCTAATTTAGACTCACTTTCGGCATCGGCGGCTTGCCAACGGACGTCTGAAATTTGAGGTGCGCTTTGCTGGTCCTCCAACGACATACACCAAACCTACCTGAATAACAGTCTTGCCAGGCCTATGTGTTCATTGTTCGGCGATGTGATTGTTTCACTTAGCACCTAGTTGGTTGTAGGTGTCTGCAGGACTGGCTGAATTCGTCCTTAAATCGATTCTTTTAACGGTCTTCCTCCCGTTCCGGTGTAAATATTTTGACGGGCGGCAAAGCATTATACTCAGCTACGTCCACTATACATTGGTAGGCTGGTGGTAGAAATGGCGGGTATCTGAGTTTCAAACCACGCTCTGATCAAGGATGTGCACTACTGATAAACTCTAAGAGGCGCGAAAATAAACTGGATTGCGCAAGACACTATAACGACTGCCCACATGAGAGCAGATTTGCAAATTTTGCAAATCCCACAACCAAATTGAATTGGCAAAATAGCTTCGTCCAAAGCGATGTAAAACGCTAATAACTCTATCACTTTTTCTGTTAGTAGATTGCGTTGGTTGATAGTACCGTATTACTAACGGGTCAAGTAGCCACAGAAGAACACTCCACCGGATTAGCCTTAGTTTCCAAAACATAGTTGTATAAGAGTTATACGACAATTATAACACAATCTGTTCAGAAAATAACATTAGGTTTGGCTTCAACTCAAAATGTGTTAGAATATGCACACTCTTCAAGTCTCTGAGAAAAAAGCCCACGCACAGTATAAGCTTACGGAAAATTTGGGTTCGATATCCTGTTCCTGCTTGTCTGCATCATTCTCGCTATCCGCATCAACATTTTCATCTGCCACAAATGTTTTATTAAACTTTTGTAACACGCCACAGAAGCTCCCACACAAAAGATTGCCTAGAATTAATCAGCCACATTGTTGCTGTTATTCAAGCCAACACAAGCCGACTAAATTTTTCATTCAGTCCTAACGTCAACACAATTATGCGCACCTAATTGGTTCTACCTGGCAATGACCGTCTGGTTGTCAATATTTTGTGTTCCGCGGGTAGTGCAACATTATCGATTGAAGACTTTTGATGCACTTGTAAAAAGTGATACTTATACCGCATCAATTATAGGTAAGAAATTAGGACAATTTTTCTAGACATATATCTTCTGCGTCCAGTATAGAAAAAGAAAGCAGTTGGGGGCCTTACTTTACTTTGAAAGCCCAGTTGAAGGAGGGCATGCGTGGATTGTGTTCCGTGATGCAAAAATGAGGTGACGTCAAAATATATTTTTCTAATGACGTCGACTCAGCACTGTTGGTAACTAGATTTTTGTTTTTAGGGAAATGTTTTTAGGGAATTTTCAATTGAGATTCCATCCTGAGTGAAGACTGATTCACAAGACGACTGAAAATTCCGTCAGAGAAGTCCTCACTCTGGCATTTAATCAACACTTGACCATGTGATGTGGGTTCCGTGATTGAACGTTAGGTAACACTCCATTCAGGTTAAGTGCGAGTTAATCACACTAGCGAGCAATCGCCCGTGGCTGGGTGATCACCTACTCAAACTATTAGCCGGGAAGTCTCGAGTTCGAAACTCCATGGAACTTTGTAAGATGATTCTCTTCAAGGAGGAAACAGCTGTGCGATTCGTTTCGGCTTTTCAGCATAGATTGGTTTCACTTGAAGGATGGAAGCTCTCTTAACCATAATTACACCAGCTCTTGAATAATGCTAAATTCACAGTAAATATGTAGTCACACGGACCGGCATCTTTCCATGGGTATCACGCAATAACTTATTTGATTGATAGATTTTGCATCTCAGTGCAATGGATGCCGATTTTGAGTGATGTCCAATCGGATGGCACGTAATCCTGATGACATTACATTTGAATCAAAAAAATAATAACCGGCAGTTTGTCCTTGAAATTTAGACCCAAAACGGTCGTTTATACCTTTGAAGTTAACTCAAGTGGATTTACGTGGTGCTATCTTCAAATGAAAGTAGAAAATTCTGAGGAACGACCCAGTCAGTGATCAACTGAGGTGAGAGTCACTCGTGTTTTGAACACAAGCATCAGATATAATCAGAAGATTCTACTTATTACTCAAATGAAGGATGTTGTGTTCAAACACAGAATACCCGCAGCGGAGACCAGCATGGACAAAGAATGACACAGAAGTTGAGGCCTGATTGATGAAGATGGGCAGTATTTATGAAAGAAGAGTTCTGCTGGCAGAATACCTAAAATGTACTTTTTAAAACTAAAAACAGGCCTTGTGAATAAGCAAAAGGAGTTCAAAGCTGTTAGAGGAACGAACTCACGCGTAACAGTGCAGCCTAACAACTAGCTGATTCTAACCTTCATTTTCAGTTCAGGAAGGAATAAGGTTTTTCAAAATGGTCGGGAACTCATACATGTCAGTCGTCTCACAGAAGCATACTATAGTAGAAGTTTATTTGACTGGCTGGTTCATAATCGGGACTTGGGAAGTCTTGGAAATTGTGGCGCGACAAACGTTTACAGGTAATGATGGCTTTCATATTGTTTTGAAATCGGAAGCCAAAATTCTTCGATACTTCTGGAGAATTCGCTAATACGTATGCGAGTGTTCTTCGAGAATTATTAAATGCTCGTTATTTTATTGCGAGGTAGTCGGTTGTTTGCTCTGTGTTTTTAACCTTAATTACTTCACGCACCCCAATATCGTGTTGCAAAGTATCCACACGGGCTAGTGCGTTTAAACACAAAATACCAGATATATTTAGCAGCTGTCAAATCACTTCACTTCCGGTAAAAATAAACCTGTCGCCGAAGCAGTACACCAGGGATCTCGTGTGTTTATTTTCAATCCAGAGTAGCTCACAATAGCCCAACGCAATATCTAGCGGGGCCAGCTGTCAAATCACTTCACTTCCGGTAAATATAAACCTGTCGCCGAAACAGTACACCAGGGATCTCGTGTGTCTATTTTCAATCCAGAGTAGCTCAGAATAGCCCAACGCAATATCTAGCGGGGAAGAAGTAATGATTCCCAAATATTATGCACCGGAAAATTGACCAATTTATCTTGAGTTACTCACAATCCAAGTGAAACAAATACCCATGTGCAAACTTGTGCACTCGTATTCTTTTGTAGATTAGGCCACGTGACCACTCTGTTGGCAAGTCTGTCTTTTCATTAATCTGCCTGTTGGTTGATTGACAATTCAGTACCTACTACGCAATTCGCTGAAACACAAAAGATAGAACTCTTACGTTGCTAAGTGCTGTCAGAATCAATGCGATGTGGTTCAAAATTACTTTGTTAGTGTGACCTTTTGGTTATCCATGTGGATGTTGATCGTGTTCCCCTATTCAGGATAGCTGTCTAAGTAAACACATACGTGCACCACGCAGTCGATTTCATTCCGGATGATGAACCTCATCTCTATTAAGGCGGACGATGACTTTTACCGAGAGATGAACGCTAAGTTAAATAACTTGTACGCGAATGGATGTCACACGAATAGCAAAACTTGTTGAAATGTAGATCCATTATATAAATCACTGATGAACGTCACTTGTCTAGTGGTAATTCAACTCGTTTTTAATGTGCCATTGTAGTGCCTTGCCATTTGCTTTGCCTTACAGATTGAATTGCAAGCAGTGGCTCTATCTACACCCACACCCAACCTGTTGTACTGACATGCACCAACCTTTAGTCGTGGATTGCACTATCCCACAACCGACCGCCAACCATTCGGATGCCTCAGTTCGAACCCTTACATCTTCGCCGACCAACCTCAGCCCGGACAGCCTGTTCTCCTACAATCACACCAGCCCACCGAGCTCCACAGACTCGTCACACATTTCAGAGAAATGTCTCGAAAGCTTATCCCCAGAACTTCGTGGCTACATTCAACAACCACCTCTGATAATTGGTGACCGAGTCCTTGTCGGTCGAGCAAAGCGTCGCGGCACGATTGCTTACATCGGACCGACACATTTTGCGGCCGGAAATTGGGCAGGTAATAACACCTTTCGGTTGCAACGAATACCCTTTGTCCTCTACACCGAGGCGTTAAAATCGACCAGGTGTTTTTCATTAGTTCAGACGAACATCCTTATGTTGGACTAAGTTACGTCATTTCCTGGGCAAATTCTGCACAAACCATTTTTCATAGTGTACACTGACAGGTGAAGTTAACAAGTGCCGAAAGAGTGGAAAGAAAATCCAGCTTGCAATAATAATGAACGTGGGTGTTACTGGTGAAAGTACACATCATGCGTTGACTTATGGAATCAGTAGAATAGCTGACCCTCTGAGTAGCTCATCCCGTGTTGTGTGATGTGTGACGTATCCATCGAGAAACTGATTGTAAAAACAGTGTGACAGTGAAATATTTCGTATCAAATCTTACCAACATGGCTGCTCTTCAGTTATATTGTGGTGTCTGGAAAACATGTAGTACGCATTGTTTATGACGGAAACAATTAACGGGTTGGTAAATCTTCCGAGAATAGTCTTGCGGATTGATTGGCACTCCTGAGTAGCAACCGATAGCAACTGGTAATCTAATTGAGAATTTGTTGGAGATACCACAAGTTCGGCTGACTTTTGTGATTACGCTGTTTATCCTTCTTGTGTCGGGGCATATCACTATCGTCATAGTTACCAACACTAACAGTGATACCGGCACACCTCTATGTTAAGCGTGGTAGCCAACTGTGGTTGCATGCGTCTACATTATTATTGGTACAGCAGTGGTATTCTTTTGTGCGTCAGAATGCTTACTTAGCGTTGTAACTTCTGTACTGCAGATAGCAACTGGTAATCTAATTGAGAATTTGTTGGAGATACCACAAGTTCGGCTGACTTTTGTGATTACGCTGTTTATCCTTCTTGTGTCGGGGCATATCACTATCGTCATAGTTACCAACACTAACAGTGATACCGGCACACCTCTATGTTAAGCGTGGTAGCCAACTGTGGTTGCATGCGTCTACATTATTATTGGTACAGCAGTGGTATTCTTTTGTGCGTCAGAATGCTTACTTAGCGTTGTAACTTCCTGTACTGCACATGGATAGAAGCGCCCGACTACAAACTAATAAAGCATTAGAAGACTTCAACTAAACCTCAAAATTGCCTTTGGTTTACAACGGATCAAGGTCGCTGCACAAATTAGCCTTGATTTTCATGATGAAGAATATTCTAGCTATCAAATTATTTTTTCCAATCCAAGCCATCGTCACAGCTGAAACATGAGGCAACTTACACTCTGAACCAAAGTTTAATCCGTTAAGAACAACTTACCTTGTAAAGATGTGTGAATCTTCTGGCAGGTTCCTTTTGCAAAATTAAGGTTGGTGGGAACTCAAGAACCAGGCCCAACCCCAAAATGGACTAGACAGGCATCAGACTGCCGAAGATTTTTCAGCAACAGTATATATAGTCTTAATGTCGCATGCCATTTTCCTCATATGCTACCTCATGGGGATCCAACCTCGGGAATTTTGAGTGGTCTTCCAGAACATCTCGAGTTGTTAGAGCACAGAATGCAAGATCAGTAGCATAATTGGGATAGGCTCACGCTCTGAAGCCGTGGACGATGAGTTTGCATTGATTATTGCGCGTAATCCAAATATGCAAGGATCAGATAATCATTCTTTACAAGACTTTTGTTGTGTACGGCGAGCCGGTACGCTCTTATTGAGCGACGAAGTGTAGTTTTGTCGTTTTATTTAGGATTCATTCTTCTCAATCATCAGGTCATTGGCGAAAGGGCACAAGTATTAGACGTCAGACAGACCCTGTGCGTTGCACCCATTATAAGTGCCCTGATGGCAGTATTTTATAAAAACTTGTTGCCAATCTGTCATCGAGAAACCACTGAACAATTGTGGCACAAGTATTAGACGTCAGACAGACCCTGATTGTTGCACCCCCTATAAGTGCTCTGATCGCAGTATTTTATAAAAACTTGTTGATAATCTGTCATCGAGAAACCACTGGCTGATCTGTGGCTGTCTCGCGGAAAGGATATCAGGGATGCTATTCCGGTCACTAGAACTTGCTTTCTGGCCGCTGAGTCTGGCGAGAAATTCCCAAAGGAATCGCCGACCTGCGCTCTGAGTATTTTCATACATTGAACAATAACAATTACCTTTGAAAAACATAGCCAAAATTTCGGCATTTCAGATTCAGCAATCTGGAATTCCTCAGTAATTTAGTCAGTGCCACTCAAAGTCTACTCCACTCACTTCTTTAATCAGTAATTTGAAAAGCTGCGGCCTCAGATGTAGATTTATTGTAAAAATGTCCACTTAAGTTGTCTATAAAGCCGCACATTTTTAAAACAACGCGACATGTCTTTCACTCATTCTTTAGTGGAAGACTTTTATGTCTGAATGCTTGGTTACACTAGTGATTCAATTTGGAACTGAAGACTATCAACAAGGGGCTTTTCTCTGCACCTGTTTACGATTTACTTGATCACTGTCGACTGCGAGGGTTACAGCACGGTGTCCACCTTAAAAATGGACTAACAGCCTCTCACGGAGCCGAACTGTTCAATCCTTCCGTTGAATAATTCGAGAAGAATTCCTAAATTGTCTTTCGATGCTCTTTGGTGATGAGCTAACAATTCTCCCTTACAGGTGTGGTTTTGGACACCGACAAAGGACGCCACGACGGCGCGACACATGGTCTACGCTACTTCTCGTGTCCCCCAAAACGTGGTCTTTTTTGTCCCTTGGATGCACTTGAAAGAATAAAAAATGGTGAGTTTTAGGACCATTGTTTTTTTCAATTAAACAACAAGCATGCTGAATGTACGAGACTGATTGCAGACGCTATGAATATTCAAACTTTTCCATTAAACGAGCGATCCTCTTCACTGTGAATAAAATTGCACAAGACCAAGCTTAGTAACAATTTGTTACTCTGTTTTTCCGGATTTAATTAGCCTAATGTTTGTAGTAGAACACAACCTTAGAAGAGTTTTTTGAACACATTACGCAATTCTTCCAAAACCATTAAACCTGAATTACTACATCAAGTTTTGAATTTGAAGTATATATATATATATATATATATAATGATCAATGCAACGGTACCAAATCGGTGTTTATTAGATAACTGAACAACAGTCCAAATTTTCAGGTAAATACTTCAAACGTATGGCGAAACATCCAGCTTGTGATTACCCCTTCCTAGAAAATGTTGTTGT